TGAACTTCATGAGATTTGCATGGGCCCACTTCTCAAACCTGTCAAGGTCTCTCTGGATGGCATCCCTTCCCTCCAACATGTCGACCACACCACAGAGCTTGGTGTCATCAGCAAACTTGCTGAAAGTGCACTCTATCCCACTGTCCATGTCACCAACAAGTACAGGTTGGGTGGAGAATGGATTGAGAGCAGCCCTGAGGAAAAGGACTTGGTAGTGTTGGTTGATGAGAAGCTCAACATGAGCCAGCAATGTGCGCTGACAGCCCAGAAAGTCAACCATATCCTGCGCTGCATCAAAAGAAGCGTTGTCAACAGGTGGAGGGAGGTGATTCTGCCCCTCTACTCTGCTCTCATCAGACCCCACCTGGAACACTGCGTTCAGCTCTGGAGTCCCCAACACAAGAAGGACAAGGAGCTGCTGGAGCAAGTCCAGAAGAGGGCCACAAAGATGATCCGAGGGCTGGAGCACCTCTCCTATGAGGACAGGCTGAGAGAGTTGGGGCTGTTCAGCCTGGAGAAGAGAAGGCTCCGGGGTGATCTTATAGCAGCCTTACAGTACTTAAAGGGGGCTTACAGGAAAGCTGGAGAGGGACTTTTTACAAGGGCATGTAGTGATCAGATAAGGGGCAATGGCTTTAAACTGAAAGAGGGTAGATTTAGATTAGATATAAGGAAGAAATTTTTCACTCTGAGGGTGGTGAGGTACTGGAACAGGTTACCCAGAGAAGTTGTGGATGCCTCATCCCTGGAAGTGTTGAAGGCCAGGCTGGATGAGGCTTTGGGCAACCTGGTGTAGTGGAGGGTTTCCCTGCCCATGGCAAGGGGGTTGGAACTAGATGATCTTTGAGATCCCTTCCAACCCTAACCATTTTATGATTCTAGGTTGAACAGAATTGGTCCCAATACAGGCCTCTGAGGAACAGCACTGGAGGATCAGTGAGGAGCGTGAGAGCTTGTGGGAGAGGAAGGGAAGGGGAATTACAAGTGGCCTGTGAAAGAGTAGAGGGTGAACCTATGACTGCAAAAGGGGGTACAACTACTAAGAGGCCCTGCAGTGTGTATTACATTTGTCCTGCAAGGTCTAAACTAGGAGTCTGCTAAAATAACGTATCTGACATTTAGAAGTATGTGACATTAGAAGTATAACAGATAAAACATAAATAAAATTAAATCTGTTGCATGTGCAGTAGCAAAAGGCAGACACTGGCTTATAGAGACCCTAGAAGAGCACAGATTCCTATAGAGTATCTCTCTTCACAAGAGGACCAATGTGATGTGACTGCCTTCATTTTCTTTTGCAGGGAAAAGAGGAGCTGGAGGTTGAATTCACAATGGAGAGCAGGTGCGTAAGGTCAAATAGGTGATCAACAGAAACGTAAGCCAGAGACAAAATGTTACAGAAACAGAACATCAGTTTCCACCTGCAACCCCCTAACACTGTCACTGTCTGAATAAAGTAGAGGGGAACTTTGGATGTTCAGGAAATGCTTGTGTAGGGCATTTAATGGAGAAGAGATACATGACAGTGCATGATGTCAGTGCATCTACACTGGGCATTCAGACACACGGAGATATAAGCACAGATGCTGATGGGAGCACAGAGATGTCCCTGATGGCTGCTGCTCACCAGGCTGCAAGGGGCCTTCTGCACAGGAGGATGTTTTAATTTTCAAACCCTTCTTGTTCCTTAGTGTGGGATCCCAGATGTTTGCTTTGTCATAAAAATGTGGGAAAATGATGCTTAGAATTTGTTTTAGTTGTGGGAATAAATTAAAAATAATTTGTTTACTGTGTTTCTATGCTGACTGTACAGTTAATGGAAAGAATGGGCATGTAAATCAGTCCTAGAGCTGCGGTTGATTTTTAATTGTAAATGGTAATATTTTTTCCTTTTTTGTTGTTACATGTAGGATGAATTGTACAGATTTTCAGCTCTGATCCCCCAGGTTTGAACTGAGCAATATGGGGCAATAGTGTGATTATGCCATCTTTGTGTAAATTTGCTTCAGTGTGTAAGAGAACGATCCTGGCTAATACAGTGAAAAGCTCCTCTGTTTACCTCCATAAATAGTTTAAAGTTCAAACTCAAGCCTGTGAGAGGTAAACTGGACTGAATGTCCTGCTAGAACTTCTGATGCTGCTTGCCCATGTTGCCTGTCAAAGACAGACTTTTAAAGATAAAGATAATGAAATAAAAATGAAAGAAGAGTTTTTTTAAAAAGAACAAAACCAACCAACCAAAAAAAACCCCAACCAACCCAAAAACCACAAAGAAAAAAAAAGAGTGTGCTGGTTTTGAACTGATTGTTTTCCCGTTTTGTCTTTCAGTCCAGACCCTCCTGAAAACATTGTTACTAATGGAGTTTTAGTGGTAATTTTTATTTCATATATTTCATAATCCTTTCCCTGACACATAGCAACGCTCACTGCAAAGCCTAGTATTAAAGGTACCAGGCAGTTGCTCCATACGGTGGCATGAAGGCATTGGCTGAGAGGCGATCTAAAGCTGCTGTCAGCGCTGGCTTTCCCATGAGGTCCCCAGTAGTGACTCAGGCTGAGAGTGAGCTGCCGCCAGCACTCACCTCTGCCCAAACCGAACTGGGCTCAGGCAGATGGCATCCCTCTGTCTGTCCAGGGAGAGCCGGGCTGACCACCCTGCTTTTGGAGCCTTCCCCAGGCCCTTGAGGGCTGCTCCTCCAGGAAGGAGCAAGCAGATCCCTCCTCTTTCCTCATCTCTACATGATCTGTTACTTCCCATGTGGAAGCCCAACGCCACCTCCCTAGACCTGGTAGGGGGTCACAGGCTGGCACCATCTCCCTCTCGAGGTGTGTGCCCCAAGCTCTGCACACACCCAAGGGACCAGCTGAGGTGCTGAGAGCTAACAGCTTTTTCTCTTTCCTCGGTTGTGTCTTACAGTCCCGTGAAGTTTCCTGTTTGGAGGTACAGGTGAATGGCGGGAAGCTGAGGAAGGACAGTACGGGTGAGCCTTTCACTGACTTACAGGGCAAATCTGGATGCCACTTTATGGCAAAAGCGCTCAGTGTTTTATGCTTGAACACCACCCTGGTTTGAAGCTATTTAAGATGCAAGACAAAATCTCACTGATGCCAGTGGCTTCTGGAAGCAGATGCAGTTGGTCAAAAATATACAGATTATTACAGAATGTGGTGTGATGAGCATGCGGTCTGGTTTCCCCACGAAATACTTTCCTCGATAATAACATCTTGTCAGATTCTTATAATTTTCTGAAGTATTTGTTCAGGGAATTGAATTTTTTGAGTCCCAAATGGTGGCAAATTCCTCTTATTTCTGGATTCAGAGACAAAAAATATGGGCAGGATGAGGACCAGGCCTCTTTTATCAATTTAACTTCTTAAAATTTCTTTAGGTGTAATGACATAAAACTTGCCGCTAGGTGAAACCCAAGACGCAGTATATTACCAAAGGCATTTTTTGCATGATTTAAGCAGTGCATCACCACCATGTCAAGTCCATGCTTGTGGACCTGTGTATCTCCTACACAATTTTTAAAACATCTCACTCCGACATCTCCTGATGGCCCCAATCCAGCAAACTGCTTAAGCACATGGATAATCCAGTCAAACTCGATTGTAACAGTGAAGAAGTTAGCTAGATGTGGCTGAAAGTGCTTGAGTGGGATAATTCCTTTGAAAGCTGATTATATACCTTTGAGTGTGTGGATTTACAGAGTATGTTTCACCCTGAACCTGAGTTGATATCATTCTATATAAAGACTATTTTTCAATTACTTGACGAGACATATCTGGGACTTGTTATATGAAGGCCAAAAAACAGGAGACATTATTTTTGTAAGTGCTAGAAATGATTTCAAAAGAAATATTACAGGTTGAAGTAAAGGGAAACATGATGGAGGGACTGAGATTTTACTAGTTCCAAAGAGAACTGTGCTCTGCTACCAAAAAAAAGATTCTCCCAAAAGTCTGAAATTTTCAAAATACCTTATTATTATACCAGAATGATATTTTAGCACCACACACTGTCTTATTGCTGAGATACTTTGAAGATTTCAGACTTTCAGGAGAGGATACTTTTTTTTTCCCAAAAACCATTATCAGCTGTGAATCATTATCTAATAAATAGAGCAGTAGTCTCAGCAATCAGTACGTATGGAAGTGCAGTGGTACTATAGCAATAGTTACTATACAGTATGTTCCATACACAGGCTCTAAAGCTGAAACCCAAAGGCTCAGATAAGTGAGTCTATCTGTTCATCCTGTGATGTGGGTATCAAAATGAAGTCATTACTTAAGAAAAATGTATATTGCCTTCCTGTGCAAACAAATTATCCACCTTTTTTAAAGAACTTAAGTTTGAAACTCCTTTGCTTTAGAGAGAAAGTTTGCGTTAACTGTGGACGGGTCTTACGAAGGAACTCAGACCCACACGCTGAGCTCCTGCCTCTGCCCGACCTCCCCGGCCAGGTTCCACTACATCAAGTATAATCAGTCGGCACTCACCGTGGCACTACCTCGGCGGAGGCGGCTCAGCAGGGTACGTGATCGCCGCTAATGCATAGCTGGCATTCTGCTGTGTGTTTGTTTGGGGGCCTCTAAGACCCGAGTGTGTGTGCAGGTCTGTCTATGCAGGGAATTGACACATGTATGTATGTGAGGCACTGGAGATTGCTTTTGTCTCTTTTATTCCACCTTTTGTAGAACAGTTAACTGTCCTTATTATTTTTTTTACCCTTTTTTCCAGTCTATATCAAGTCAAAATGAAAGAGATATGAACGAGTCTGTGACCCTAGCTCTGAACTCACTTCCTATACAAGAGAAAATAACAATAGCAGAGGTGAGAACAAGTCTTTCTTAACAAAAAACAGCCCAGCACATATTCAGTTTGGTGGGTGATGAGAGTCTGACAGTTCAGTGATTCAGTTCCTGTCAGACACGACGCGTGCTACAGCGTAAGGTGTGAATGACAGTCATGGTGCAACTATGCAATATTAATTTTTTTTTTTTGTTCTGCATGTGGTTCCAGGCATGCCATTCAACCCTGTTCTGAGGTTAAATTAATTTCCTCAGGACATATCTAATATGTTCATCAACATAGTATGTGAGTTAACAGTAAAGGATACAAAAATTGAGACTTATATTTGCAAAGAGAAAGCCTGAAGCAGAAGATGAAACAGAGAACATCTATATGCCTGTGGTTCAGATGCCCAGCTTTCAATGATCTTCCTGGAAAATGAAGGTTAAACTAGGCATTCAGTTATGAAAAGCTGAGGGGCCCTAAGCCCGCCTGGCTTGGGTGAATGGCCCACTTCTATTCAACCCAGAGTGTACTAGAGCTCATTATATCTCCCATAACCCAGACTGTTGCTGGCCAGGTTCTGCAGACACATCGCTGGCTGCAAAGATAGTGAAATTCGGCCCGTAGATGGAGTGGGGGAGGAAGGCGCAGGATTAATGACCTGAGCATGCTTACACTGTTTGTATTGCGATTTTCAGGACAGGACAATTGACTTGTACACAAAGGCAAGTGAATGGTAAGTGAGTCTCCAGCAAGACCTGATCCTGTAACTGGGAGACATTTGCCCCTGCGCAAAGCTCATTTGAAATCAGCAGGGCTCCATGCAGGCTCTGTTGTGAGCAGAGGTGTGTTCATCTTTCAGTTGCAGGCTTTTGTTTGCCAGATTCTCCTTTTTCGGTGATGGAGAATTAAATCATGGGTCCCCTTTCCTCCAAGTTTCCAAGCTGTTAGTGCAGCTCAGTAAGTAAATCTTGATTTGTGTGCATTATTATGCTCACAGATGGAGAGAGCAGCTCCACAAAGAAATAATATTTCTTTAGTATACAAACAAAATAAAACCAAGGCATGGTAGCTGTTTCCCTAATCAACTGCTGTGCCTGTTGAAAGTGGTTACCTAGCTACAGGCACGTATGGCAGGCACTACTGAAACTTGAAAAATGAGTTATATGAGCGAACAATACCAGAAGCGTGTTGTAGGAACCTCATTACCATTCCAGGCCAGTATGCTACGTTCTGTTCTGTCTTCTCATTTGCACTCTTGTTGGCAGCTACAGCAATGAGCAGAGACCTGTCTGTGGTGTTGGTCTCTTTCTCATTTATTACATTACACTGTCCACAAACCAGTCTGTAAACACATACAAGCACAGCTGAAGTTGACCACAGCGAATAATAATACAATAATATTTATGCCCTGGTCTCAGGACTCAGGGTCTGTGTTTCAGACCAAGAGACCTAGATGCCCGCCTGGGGTTTGACCTCTGCACTGATGAACAGAATTTCCTGCAAAACCGAAGAAAGGTGGTTGCTGCTGCCCTGAAGGATGTTCTTCATCTGGAGGAAGATCTGCAAGAGCATGAGGTAACCAGCGAAGGCACTGCTGGGTGATTTTTCTTTCTCCTTTCTCTCAAGCCTGGAGATGAGTGATTTCTCCCCTCTGTCCAGATGAGGAGTGAGCACCTCTGTCAGCAGCTCCTTCTCCAGAGTGCTTTTTGCAGCCAGGGTGATCTCAGCTGAAGAGCTCAACAGTCTATCTGGATGAGCAAAGTCTCTATTTCCACTTGGCTTTCAAGTGAATCATTTGAAGGAACTTCAAATCAATGAGTTTGGTCCGTGTTTCTTAAAATCCTTCCTGAAGTGACAAAATCTTCTAGTATACCTCACAGGGATGTCCAGCAACTTTCGTTGTTTATAACTCATAGGGCAATGTTGTTTTATCTCTAATGTACGATTTTATTTTACTAGTGTCTGGATGTTGCTTTTTTCATGTCCGTATTCTTTGGACATGTTGTGCCTTCATGCCACTGTTCCACCTGTGCTTTCTGCCTTTTTTTTGTGTTGAACAGGTGCCTGTAGTGGCTGTGACCACAGCAGGGTGTGGGATAAGAGCACTTACTGCCATGTATGGCAGCATTTTGGGTCTTCAAAAGCTGCGTGTTCTGGACTGTGTTTCATACATCAGTGGCTCATCTGGCACAACATGGTGAGGAGTCATTTTGAGACTGTTGTTTGGATCTTGTTGTGTTATGCAAAACCCATGCTTTGCCTAGGGTTTCAGATCTTAACAAGGGCAAAAAGGGTTTATTTGAGTTATTGCTTCCATGTTTGGCCTGCGAATGCCATAGTCACTCTTGAAAGGCGTATTGTGTGTTATACATTTGGTGTCACTGAAGTAACCTATCCCTAACTGAAAGAGGAGACTTCATTGGAAGCACAAAAATCCTTAATCCTATGCAAAATGATCCTTTATTGTTATTTACTGTTGGACTGAAACAGCATAAACAGCTGGTGTAGCTGCTTGTTTTGAATCAAATTATTTTGATTGATTGCTTTTAGACTTGCATTTCTATTCAAAGTAAGCTCGAAGGAGTGGAGTGACCTAAAGCTAAAACAATAAGAAGTGCCCAAAGCTCTGCAAAGCATATTCTCTGAGTTTCAAAAAAAGCACCTTCATTTCTTTCTGCTTTCCATCATGTTTCCTGCCTGTAGGACCATGACAAAACTGTATGAAGATGCTGATTGGTCACGTAAGGATCTTGGAGAAGTAATTATCGAAGCTCGGAAGCAAGCAGCCAAGTGCAAGATGAATGCTTTTTGCTTGAGAAGTCTGAGGAATTATTACAGAGAGCTGAGCCAAAGGACCCAAGCTGGCCACAAGACATCTTTTATTGATCTGTGGGGGCTCATGATTGAATCCATGTTAAATGATGGGGTAATGTATATACATCTTTCTTCTCATAAAGTTGGTGACTTGATCTTTATGACCATTATGAGAAATTAAAACCTAGGAACACCGCTCATCACTGGAATCCACTTGGACATCGAGCCATTGACTGCAACACTGTGAGTGTGACCATCCAGCCAATTCCTTATCCACTAAGTGGGTACATCCATCAAATCTGTGTCTCTCCAATTTAGAGACAAGGATATCATGCGGGACGGTGTCAAATGCTTTGGACAAGTCTGGGTAGATGACGTCATTTGCTCTTCCCTTATCCACCAATGCTGTAACCTCATCATAGAAGTCCACCAAATTTGTTCTGGCATGATTTGCCCCTAATGAAGCCATGTTGGCTGTCACCAATCACCTCCTTATTTTCTATGTGTCTTAGCATAGTTGCCAGGAGGATCTGCTCCATGATCTTGCTGGGCACAGAGGAGAGACTGAGTGGCCTGTAGTTCCCTGGGTCTTCCTTTTTCCCTTTTATAAAAATGAGGGCTATGTTTCCCCTTTTCCAGTCAATGGGAACTTCACTAGATTGCCACGACTTCTCAAATATGATGGATAGTGGCTTAACAACTTCATCCACCAGTTCCCTCAGGACCCGTGGATGCATTTCATCAGGTCCCATGGATTTGTGCACCTTCAAGTTTCTTAGATGGTCTCGAACCTGATTATCTCCTACAATGGGCAGCTCCCCACTCCCCCAGCCTCTGCCCCTACCTGCTGTGACCAGGGCAGCTTGACCAGAGCACCTATCAGCAAAGATGGAGGTAAAAAAGTCATTGAGTACCTCAGCCTTTTCCATATCTCAGGTAACCAGATCTCTTATTTCCTTCCAGAGAAGGCCCACATTTTTGCTAGTCCTCCTTTTATCACTGACATACCTATAGAAGTTTTTCTTGTTGCCCTTGATGTCCCCAGATTTAGTTCTAGCAGGGCTTTAGCTTTCCTAACCTGGTCCCTGGCTGATTGGACAGTTCCTCTGTATTCCTCCCAGGCTACCCGTCCTTGCTTCCACCCTCTGTTAGCTTCCTTTTTGTAGTTGACTTTGTCCAGAAGCACCTTGTTCATCCATGCAGGCCTCTCCTGGTGATTTTGCCCAACTTGCTCTTTGTTGGGATGCACTGCTCCTGAGCTTGGAGTAGGTGATCTCTGAATATTAGCCATGTTTCTTGAGCCCATTTTCACTCCAGGGCTTTATCCCATAGTACTCCACCAAGCAGATCCCTGAACAGGCCAAAGTCTCTTCTCCTGAATGCCAGAGTAATGAGCTTGTTGTATGCTCTCCTAGTTGCCCTAAGGGTCTTGAACTCCACCATTTCATGGTCACTACAGCCAAGGCTGCCCTTGAGTTTCACATTTCCCACCAGTCTCTCCTTGTTGGTGAGAACAAGGTCCAGCAAAGCACCTCTCCTTGTTGGTTGCTCTGTTACTTGAAGAAGGAATTTATCACCAGTGCAATCCAGGAACCTGGATTGCTTATGCTCTACTGTGTTGTTCCTCCAACAGATATTGGGGTGATTGAAGTCCCTCATGAGGACCAGGGCTTGTGAATGTGAAGCTGCCCCTACCTGTTCATAAAGGGCCTTATCTGCTTGGTCTTCCTGGTCAGGTGGCCTGTAGCAGATGCCCACTATAACGTCACTTGTCCTTGGCCTCCCTTCAATCCTGACCCATAAGCTCTCAGTTGGCTCCTCATCCATCCCCAGGCAGAGGTCCATGCACTCAAGCTGGTCACTGACATAGAGGGTGACACCTCCTCCTCATCGCCCCTGCCTGTCTTTCCTAAAGAGCCTGTATCCTTCTATTCCAACACTCCAGTCATAGGAGCCATCCCACCACATCTTTGATGCCAATAACATCATAGCCCTGCAGGCGTATGCACATCCCTAACTCCTCTTGTTTATTCACCATGCTACGTGCGTTTGCATGGAGGCATTAGAGTTAAAGCTGACTTACTGGTTGGAGTGCCTGAAATTCATTTCTGCTGCTCTTCAGGTGCTCGCAACGTGTCTTGATCAAGCTTGATATTATCCCTCTCCCCCTTAAAGTCTAGTTTAAAGTCTTGTCAATAAGCCCGGCTAGCTCATGAGCAAAGACCCTCATCCCTCGTATGAAATGCTCAGACTAGATCTAAAGTTATGAGCATACTGATTAAAAGAGTAGCTGTCCAATAAATTTTCGAGATTCTTATGTGTTTACTACAGCTCTACGCTTTTATGTCTGCACTGCTGCAATATTTACAACAGCTGCACCTCGAATGTGTTGCACATGTACCCCATATGTAGTTACTGCACTTTGCGATTTAGTGATGTGAAAGTACATAGATCCAGAGCTCCCAAAACATCTTAGCTACAGAAACTGTGGTTTTGCAGGTGCCTTTCAGCTACTTTGGATTTGATCTCTCAGGACCTTCTGTTCCTAATTTTGTTGTAATGACACAAGTAAAACTTACTTTGTAAACTAGCAGAATGATGACAGCTGGAGAAAAAGTTTTTTATCTTAGAATCCCTTAAACATGATTTATATTTTGCCTAGGTGCAACAGATATAATGAAATACTCTCATTTCATATCATATGTGACATTGTATTTCTGGCCTCAATGATACTTAATAAAATTTGCTAGAATTTAATTTGGCTCAAGAACGCTCAAAATCTCCATGTCATGTATAAGATAAGCTGTTAGTATTGGGCAGCTCAAGGATTTTTTTCCTCTGTGGATGTTAACTTTCAACATCATTTTCAAAAAAATCTTGACTAGAAGGGTCATTAACATGCTGCCTCGAAGAACTCTTTTGTTTAACAGATGAAATACATGATAATAGCTGAATTACCCAGATCTGCCCTATTTTTTCACTTACATTTAGCAATGCAAAGTTAGAACAGCAATATGAAGCAATTCATTATTGTTGTTGTATACTGAATGTAGAACATGGCTGGTTATCTTAATAACAATTATTCCTGTTCTCACGATTTTCTTGCACTCTTTTATTCAAACACATGGAAGAAAGTTTAAGAGGAAATTCAGGAAAATTATATCTCATATTCAGACTTTATAAATTGATATCTTTAAGGAACTGATTATCAGCTAACCATTTTTTTTCTTTTGTTTTTTTTTCCAAATCCAGAAATGCCACCACAGACTTTCTGATCAACGTCGAGCAGTGAGTCAGGGTCAGAACCCACTGCCCATCTACCTTGCCCTCAATGTCAAGGACAAAGTTGCCACCAAAGATTTTAGAGGTATGTCTCAATTGTGGAAAAGAACTATGTTTTCACCTGGGGAGATACAGCATGGAGATACTGTAAATAATGATGAATTGTTTTCAATTCTCACTCCAAGCCAGGAGAAGTCCTGTTCAAAGATGTAAAGAGTAACTGGACACGTAAAGAGCCACAGAATAGATAGCAACAGTTCAGTATTTTGTAAGATTTCCTGGCATGTAAGTGTGCATATTCAGACTTGAACTTCAGACAGATAACACAACATTGCTCTGTGACACTGTCTCAGATACACTATGAATTCTTAAAGAAAGTGATTCACCAGAGCTTTAATTTTGCTTAATGTGTGTTTTTCATGGTTGGCTAAAGACACTAAAAGCAATAAAAGTCCATCTGTGTTCTAATCCACCTTCCAAGAGAAAAATTCCCACTTTCTACATAAAAAGAAAGAAGCAGCATTTAAATTTTTCTTTAGCTCTGACATTGTTCTTTCACAAACCTGTAGACAGTGTGATAGCTGGTTCAGGGCCGGCTGTCAGCAGGGCTTGCTCAGGGCACGAGCTAAGCCTCTTTGCCTGTGAGGGCTGATGCCTGAAATGTTTATTCCACATCTGGTGGGTTGACCATTTTTCGCAGCAGAACTAACATTGTTGGTATGTGTATGTTCACAGAGTGGGTGGAGTTTACACCGTACGAGGTGGGCTTCTTGAAGTACGGTGCCTTCATTCGTGCAGAGGATTTTGGCAGCGAGTTCTTCATGGGTCGCCTGATGAAGAAGCTCCCCGAGTCCCGGATCTGCTTTATGCAAGGTGACTCACCAGCCTCGGGGAGTGACAGGATTTTAATACAAACACTAATGATTCTGAAAATTAGTCCCCAGAAACCTGTTGTTCTGCATATGGCAGCAGAGGTAATCAGTCAGTCAGCTGAATTCAGCACGTCTCCTGAGACTTACTTAACTGCCATGGCTAGCAAAGGTGGTTTTATCATTTGGACCAAGATACAATGAAATTAAAATGATGAATAAGTTGTTATCTACCTTCATGAGTGCTTTCAAAGCATCACCATTTCCCACAGCTAAAATTGGATAGAAATATGAAAAAAGTTAGAGAAGAGCTGTGGAAGGAGCAGAAGGCAGTTTCTAAAAGAATTTGCTTGTTTTTACTTCAGCAGTACTTATTATACCTCTCCCACTTCCTAGGAATGTGGAGTAGTATCTTCTCCAAGAACCTCCTGGATGCCTGGCATGCAGCTGACAATTCAGAGGACTTCTGGCACAGGTGGACCCAAGACAAAGTGACCGAAATAGGTAAAACTCAAGTACCCTTTGACTTATGGTCTCCCTCCTCCAGGCCCCTCTCATAGAGTAACTGCACTCACATCTCTCATTTTTTGAGTTTTTCTGTCATCCTGGTGCTCTCAGCCTTGGGGTATGGGAGGCACTGTGAAAATCAAGTGATTTGATTTTACTGAATAGCCAGTGATTTGCTTAAATAGTGAGATTGTTATTAGAAGGAAAGGCACCATCAGACAGACCTTGATGGAAAAGAGATGGGCATGGATACATAAGATGATCCCTAAAATGTTGTGTTTAAAAGGCTTGGAAAGCAGATCTTCCACCAAAGCCTCATGTCAACTATTTGAAAACCAGAGATGAGCCTGAGTGTTTCCTTCCAGTATCTATTCACCCTGCACAGCACATCCCTCCCTCAAAATCTGATTGAACTGAAAGATTTAGCAGAGGTCAAAGGAAGTCAACATAGTGGAGCTCTATTATGCTAGCCGAGAGAAGCAGCTGGGTACTGAAAGACGATTCTTTGAAAATACTCATGATCATCAGGAATTGGCTCAATGGCTGCACTCAGAGAGTAGTGGTCAACAGCTCGATGTCCAAGTGGAGACCGGTCACGAGTGGCGTCCCTCAGGGGTCCGTGTTGGGCCCGGCCCTCTTCAACATCTTTGTCGGTGACGTGGACAGTGACATGGAGTGCACCCTCAGCAAGTTCGCTGATGACACCAAGCTGTGTGGTGCCGTCGACACGCTGGAAGGGAGGGATGCCATCCAGAGGGACCTTGACAGGCTGGAGAGGTGGGCCCGTGTCAACCTCATGAAGTTCAACCAGGCCAAATGCAAGGTCTTACATCTGGGTCATGGCAATCCCCGGCACAAATACAGACTGGGTGGTGAATGGATCGAGAGCAGCCCTGAGGAGAAGGACTTGGGAGTACTGGTGGACGAGAAACTCAATATGAGCCGGCAATGTGCTCTTGTGGCCCAGAAGGCCAACCGCATCCTGGGCTGCATCAAGAGGAGCGTGGCCAGCAGGTCGAGGGAGGTGATCCTCCCCCTCTACTCTGCCCTCGTGAGACCTCACCTGGAGTACTGCGTCCAGTTCTGGAGCCCTCAACATAAGAAGGACATGAACCAGTTGGAGA